TTTTTTTTTTATTGCACCCTATCAGAAAGCTTGATTGAAGCACAAGAAAGATCACTCTGATATCGTAAGGCATACCTGTCTTTTCTGTTTTTGAAATGTTGTCATCTTGCTCCTCCTGTTCCTTTGAGCAAGAAGATTTGACGTCCAGCTGTGGATCACAGAATGATCAAACAAAGTTACAACTGCACTCTAACAATCAACAATGCTTTTATTATAAATACTCTGAAATGGCACCTACATGTACTTGTATTTTGATTTTTACCACTTTTGCAGGGTTATTACCAAAAAATAGTTGACTTGTAGTACAGGACGTCTATCATTGGTACTGATCTAAGTGCAAGCATCACTTTTTTGTTGAATATTTCATCATTATGCCTCTTCCAACAGTTGTAGATCTTTTGATTTAAATGCCTGGCCTTTGATTCTTCACCAAACAAATGCTTGACAGCAAGCATTCATGTACATCATGTGCTAATGTACATTCATGTAGATTTGAGGTCTATGTTTTACCATAACTTTGTGACGGAACACTTTTTCTACAGGCGGGGGGGGACCTGCTCGTGTTTTTTCTTCTTTTTTAAATTCTATTTCGTGCAAACCCGAGCAAGGAACGCCTTAGCCCCAATATCACTGTCACAACATCCTCACCTTATTTAGGGTGCAATCTGCAATGTTCACATACCTTTGTATCCTGTTTATTTTTTACTGAGTTGCAGTCGCTCTCAGAACTTTCATCTACAATAATCTTTTCATCATTTTCTGAAGTAGGGGGGCTGGTCCTCTCTTTCAGCTTTTTTCCTGGTTGGGTATCTTTTTTATTGAGCCAAGAACAGGAACTCTTTGATTCGTCCTCTTCATTACCACTGCTGCTGTCATTAGCATCCTTCTGCTCACAAACACGACAAGGATACAAAAGACAACAAACAACACAGTGGATGGAATAACCTACAGACAGCATCCATGGCAACTCTCCAGATTAACAGAGAGTCTCCCAAATTCAGACCAAATCTTGCAGTCTCCCGCACTGAACTAGACAGGGTTGCACCATGTAATCATGAAAGGCTATTAATAGTAAGTGTCCATTGTTCTTTCAAGACAAGAGAGACGTTAGGATCTGTTGTGTTACATTTAACTATGATTGTGCATTCTAGTTTACCTAAATTGTAGACAATGCTGCCAAGGGGAAGGAGGATGTAAAACAACACTTACTATTATGATAACCTCATGGCTATGGTTGTATAACAAGTGTTCATGAAGAGCAGGGTTGTTCAAAGACAGAATTGCGCAGGACTGCCGCTGTGACTTCCAAAATGTAGAGTAAAGTTGCGTAGATAAAAACAATTATATACCAGTACCATAGGTACCTTAGATCATTTTTGAAGCTGTTCCTACGAAAATCTGTGATTGTCTTTGTTAATTAATAACAACTTCAACAGACCATAAATGACACTTGATCAGTCACTGAGGGGGAACTATTTTAATAAAACTATAAAACAGGCGCCTGGTTAAAAATCAAAATTTTGCTGCTGTGGCAATTTACACAGCTTGGAAAAACTCACTCTAAACCAGTCATCAATGATGAAAGCGACAACCACAATTCCTTGCATTTTACAAGAAAAGTGCCTTGCTTGTATTTATTAATTTTTTGCCTATTAGATTTGCTGCCTTAATTGTTCATTCGCTTCAGGCTCACTCACTGCCGCAGCATTATAATAAACAGTAATAACCCAGCAAAGGCTTCTAAGAGTGTCACGCTCCTGACCATTAACTGCTTTTAAAGATTTGCTTTAAAGCTTTAAATATCAAAAAGGCAGCTTACCTGTGGACTGTGTTTCCTCTTTACTAATTGGGTTCCTTTCCGCATGGCTCCAAGAAACTGATGGAATAATGATACAAAAAAGATTTACAAATTGTATTAATATGAAGTGAGTTATGCGTTATTTATTCACTATACAAAAATTACAGTCAAATCTACCCCCGAAAGACACTTCCTGTAGACAGACACCACCTGCAAGTGACACTTCACCATGTGCAAACATGTATATGCAAATACAAACAGCACAATAACACAGGAAAATGCAATTGTAGTGAGCACATCAGGCAAAGTCCTTAACACTCTGAACAGGAAGAAATTTTGAAATCCACTAGCCCGGTGGGCCAGTAAATTTCAAGTTTCACTAGCTTGCCAGCCTACATTTCAATGTTACTTGCCAATATGGCAGCCTATATGGCAATCAGAAGATGAACACAAACAAAACATGCTTGGATTTGCAATTAATCCATGCTTTCAACTCAATGCTTTGCTCATCTTGCAGTCTTCTTTTCTGTCTTGAAATTACATGTATCACTTGTCAAAGCTGATGTTTTCAATTAGCCCACTGGACCAAC